GCCATGACGGTGACAGGAATCCTTTTGTGTGCATTCTTCACGACCTGCGTGTGTGGTAAGATCTTGCTCAGCCACTCGTGTGAACGTCGGTAGCAGGAATGAATGAGAACGACACATACAAGCCATAACGTTACGTTCACCTTCAGAGTGACAGTAAAACAAACGAAGCTACGCTTTGTATTGTAGTGTGGATATCTCAAACCGGAGTAAAGTCACAGCTAATCGATTATCAAATTAATCGACTACTATTTTAATAATCAAGTATTCATTCGGAGCCATTCTTTGTCCAAAAATGGTCCGAATCATCTGATTTAAGCCTCTCGCCAGTCATTATGCTCTGTCCATCATGAAATGAGAATGATTATATTTACCATTAAATCAAAACAAAACATTTGCTTTTACTTTGGAAATCAGTTTCAAAAGGGGTGGTGAGTAAATCAGAAATGCTTAATTGTTGGTTGTTTTGTGTTTTTTTTAAACACTAACCAATACCAAATCAACAATTGGTCAATAAACAGTAATCAATAAAAAATGTGGTTTCCTAATACCCTTAAATACATAATAAAACTAGCTGATTACTGTATTAGATTAATCAATGGAGTTAGGGAAAGGACAATCTACATCTATATTTATATGGTGCTTTCACAAGAGTTGCAGCTGTAACAAAGTGCTTGAAAGAACATTTACATAAAATAAGAAATATAACACAACACAAACAATAAAACACGGATAATCATCACAACTATTCCTAAAATGGGACCAAAGAGAGAAAAAAAAAACATCCTTGGTGATGCCGTTGTCCAGTAATGGTGTGAGATTCTGGAGGTTAAAGTACTCTAAGTTATTTTAAACTAAAAAGTTTAAACTTTCCGTGTTGACACACTGTGACACTCCCGATATGTTTTATGAACATATGTTAGAGGAATCTATGGGCGAAATTGTATCATGTTTAAAGTCTCATTTGATCTGGGCACGTCGAAGCATCTGGGTGCGTTATCAGCACCCCCAAATTCCTTTTCAGAAGGTGCCGGCCATTTGGGCTGGGGGCTGTTGCAGCCCACACCACAATCAACACATCAAAGCGGGTGGGCAATCAGAGGAGGTCAGATCCGGTCACAAAGGGGGAGCGAGTAATTTGGGAACAGCGGTCGAACAACAAAAGACGATTTGAGAACACCCGTCGCGCCCAGGCGACATTTGTCATCTGCAAAGTCCGCGATATGTTGATACAGTGTCGACCAGACCGAAAGGCCCCAACGTGCCGGTGGTTCAAAGCTCATACCCAGGTAACTAATCACTACCGAGGGGCCGGACCAGGGGTACGGTATGCAAATATTGGGGGCAATGTTTTTCTTGTATTTTGCATATGTCACAAATAAATGTTCGAACTCGAGGAGGGGGGGCTCTGAGCGTGATCACGGAGCAACTAAACCGTCGTTCGCTCTCAGAGATCCGCTTCCGTCGACATTGAAGACAATTTTCCTGTGTGCCGAGTCGTTTCTTTAACTTTGTCCGAGAAAATCTCTGACAACATATGATCAAGATAAAGCTCTATACAAGTGCACTCGGTTCAACATTTTGATTGACTATGACTTGGTTTTCGGCAAAGGTACATTGAAGAACCCATTCGAGATGATTCGGTGGCGAATGCCAGTACGGTTAGCCAGTGCAGATTTTTGGTGCGAGTCCAAGCTCGAGTGACAGCCCTGTTTTCTTTTCTGTTTCCGGTTCAAAATGGTGTTGTGCAGCATCTGGGGTTGCAGATGTGGTTCTTTCCTGTGAGTTCATAGAAGACTCGGTGGGACTGCGCGACAACTTCGCCAGAAGTCCAGCCACCCTCATCTTGAGAGAAGTCTTTGTTGGTTCCCTTGAATCCCTTGAAGCGTTGACTCCGTTTGTCCCGCCGTCCAACTCGGATCCACGTGTCATCATGTTTGAGTCCAAAGGTCCCCCCCCCCGCGCCTTTTACCCCCAAATAAATGGAACCCCGGCTTTGACTGTCCCTCCTCCGTGTGTTGCAGTATCATCATTCAAGATTCCCAACATCGACATTCTGCTCCACGCCGATTGCAACGAGCGGGAGGTGATGTGTGAAATAAGCAGGTACGCTCCCCATGGCTTGAAGGAAAGGTCAGAATCGGACCATTTCCTGGTGTCCATCGACGTGGCAGGCGGGGCTTTTGGCACTTTGTTAATCCTGCGTGCCGTGCCGCAAGCCGATGACCAAACGAGCCGGATGAATCCCGAACTGGGCCTGCCTTTGAGCCAGACTGGAACGATGCTAACTGAAGGTACGATACAGTTAAAGTGTGCGGGTCTGACTGTGGAAAAACAAAAATTTCAAGTTTGGTTGTCATTGTTGGGACAGAAAGGTTTTTATAGTAATCGAATTCTCGGATTTTGGGGGACATAAAGGTATCAAGACATTATTTGAAATTGAAATTTCACAACTATAAGTTGAAGACGCTTCGGTTGCCTGGTCTGGTCGATAACATCCGTCAAAAAAAAAAAAAAAAAAAAATCGGCCAAAATGAGGAGTGTCTTGAAAATGAATAAAAGCGCAGCCGAGACCACTCCTACAGCGGTGCAGTACTCCACCTTGCAGATCCGCCAGCCTTTGCTCATCTCTGGACTTACCAGCACCGGGTCGAACCTGCCAATTATGCCACACGCTGTGCAGTCTTTAAGTCAACCACAAAACTCGAACCCAATAACGAAACACCAACTTCACCTTGTTTGAGGAGGATACGCTCCAAGCTGACCCAAAGGTGCAATTTGAGTTTTAAATCTCTGTCCTCTGTCTTGCGTTCTGTCTCCACAGTGTTATTTCTGGTGTTTTCCACTGTCAAGTCTCTGTCTGCACCCTTGCGAGGCGCCGGCCTCCTCAATTGCGGCTTCAGGCATCAGGACATGTCGCCCGATGAGGAAGTGCACATCGAGTGGCGCCAACAACATCGGGGACGAGGGCAGATCATCATCACGATGGCGACGAGGCTGAACGATCCGGAAGGAGGCGCAATGGGTAAGTGCGGCGTCCACCCCGTCGACTGAAGTGAAGGCGCGGTGTTGAGAAGGGTGCGACTGTATTTCCTGTTTCCAGTGCGACACTCGAGCAAGGACTCGAGTATGGATGGCGCCCAGGTTGTGAGCGAGGGCAACGCTTCTGTGACCCTGAACAACATTCAGGTTACAGATGAGGGCGCCTACATCTGCTCCGTCACGATCGGCCCTTACCATGGCCAGCAGGTGGTCAATCTCCAGGTTGTTCGTGAGTTTCACCCAAATGTCACCTCGCTTGCATGACCGCATCGACAGACGTTTATGTTGTGTGAATGGACGCACAGATTTGTACACTTCATGCGAATTGTGTGAGTACATACATGCCGCTTGCTCTTCTTTGCAGAAGCACCAAGTGTTTCATTCTCAGAGGAAAAGCTCATTTTAAAGGGAAATACAGCGCAGACCCTAAGATGTCATTGTCGTCAATACTACCCTCTGGATGTTCAGGTGGGTCACTGCGGCGGGGAGGGGTGGCGGGTGTACCTTGACTTCCCAGTTTAATTCATTCACCTTCCTGTGTGGAGTTTCCATGTTCGCCCCGGGCCTGCGTGGCTTTTCTCCGGGTACTCTGGTTTCCTCCCACGTTCCAAAAACATGCGTGGCAGGTGAATGGAACACTCCAAATTGTCCCAAGGGCTGACTGTGCGCGCGAATGGTTGGTTGTCTCTGGCTGCGGTTGGCTGGCAACCAGTTTAGGGTGTCCCCCACCTGCTGCCCAAAAGGCAACTGGGATTGGCTCCAGCATGCGCCGCGACCCTTGTGAAGACAAGCGGATCAGAAAATGGATGGATAGTTCGCGATTCTTTGGCATTATCTTCGTTTCATTGCGCAGAGCTCACAAAGTAGGTGGCTGTCGGAGTGCCTCTTGGCGAATGCACATGTTAATTTGTATCGGGCGGCACCCTTTTACCTTACAATTGCTTCCTACTAATATCCACCACTTGATGGCGTCGGAACACTAACAGGGCAAACATCACAACGGGGGAATATAATGAGAGACTCTAACAGAGAGAGCAAAAGACAAAGGGTTTGATCAAATGTTATTACAGTGCATACTGTAGTTTAGGTGAGTTAGTTTAGCTCGCAACATAAAAGTGAAAAATCGACCAAGCACTGGCACTTCACCGGAAAAAAAAAAAAAAAATCATAAGTTGGAACATTTGTACGTCAGGGCACCTCTGTCGAACATCTGCATCACTGTTTGACATGCTATGTTCTCCTTCAGGTGGAGTGGCTGTCACAGTCTCCGACGGACGAGGAGCCCGCCATCTTTGCCGATCAGGGCTCGCTGTCCAGCCACCGGAAGCATGGCGACGGCACGTACTCGCTCTCGTCCCATCTCGTCGTGCCCCCCGACGTGGTCCCCGGGACCCGAATCACCTGCAGGGTGTCCCACGTGGCCCTGGACGCTCCTGTTTCCGTCAGTATGCTGGTAGAACACCTGGAAGAAGGTAACGACTTGGTCATAAAAGGAGCACCCTGAACAGAGGAAGGCATCGTGACGATGCGATCAACATTGTTTGTCTTTCTACAGATGGCTACTGGTGGGTGTTGTCATTCTTGGGCATCACTGTGGTGTTCTTCTACCAGGTCATCAAATAGGAACTCTGATTTATTGAAATCTCAATTAAAGCGGGTTATTGGCTGTATTTTCTACAAACACAAGACATTTTGTTGACTGGTTTTGTTCGAGCAACAATAATTTCATTAGTGACCAGTTCCATCAACAATCATCAATGATATTCGCTCCAACCTGGAATGTCACTGGTGATTACTCATGTGGAATGTTACAACATAAATTGTGGATTTGTTTCAACCTAAAATGGTTTCAAAATTGGTTTGAGTGGGGAAAACCCATGCACGTTATTTTATTATTTTTTTTGCTTTCTTTGTGATAGTTTTTGAATCTTGGCTTGAGTTTGTAAGTTCTCCCTGTTTTTAGGTGGGAGTTTTTTTCAGGTTCTCCAGCTTCCTCACACATTCAAAAATATGCTTCTTAACTGGGCAATTAGGAGGAAAAAAATAATTATCACAATTATTTTTGACTGATATTGAAATCTTGATTAAAAAAAAAAACACGAAAATTAATTGATTTCAAAGTTGAGTATCAAAACTCAACTTTAAATTTAACTTGAAGAAAAAAAATAACCTGAAAATAAAATTGTAAAAATAATAAAATAACAGCAATAAATACAATACATAATAAAAATACAGTCAATACTGTTGTCCGCCGACTATTGGAAATAATAATCTAGTGTTGAAGCGCCACTTTGCGTGCCTGCCCTTGTTGGTGTATTACGTGGTACTGCTGCTGCTGGAAGTCATCTGTTAATGCTAGTGGCGATTGGGCTAGCTGAAGCTAGCTACAAAACGCTAACGCCGATTCAAGCCACTTTATGCGGGCGAGTGTGTCCCAGTCGTGTTTTTTTTCTTCACAATATCCTATTTCTGCCTGGTTGTTTTGTGATTTAAAAAAAATACTCTCAGTCCGAAACAAAATTCACTGGGTTATTTTCAATGTGGGTGAGTAGGTTGGGAGTGTCCCCCACACAGCGACATACTGGCCACGGGCTAAGTAAGGAAAATGGATGGCATTCATACCTAGATTAAAAAAATACATAACACAGTCCAGAGAGCAGTTTTGTTCAATTCTTTTATTAGCATCAGCAAAATTGACAAGCATGCACTTATTCTTGCAAACATTTTCACCTTTCATGTAAATCACACGTGTACACTGACAAATAATACAGTTTCTCAATATAATTTGATTGTTAGTGCAGCTGTGCAGAAATGCATGTCGTTGTCGTTTTTAATGTGATCCACTCACACGCTAGTCTTAGAAGAAAATATGAGCATCTTCAAACTATTTTAACAACCCCCTCCACACAAAAATATCCCGAAAGACCGATCCAAACGTGTCAGATGCCTGTTAGTGGTCTATGCTACATGACGTTAACAGTTGAAAGTCGTCGCGGTTTGGCACTCGTGATTAGTTAGCGGATCGGGATGACGTTTAATGCCTGCCGACGACAACAGAAAGAGCGTTATTCGGACAAAAAAAAAAAAACCTTACGGTGACCGTTTTTGCCATGCAAATAGGAAACGAAGCTCACCTTGGCTGACTTTGCATTAGCGCGTACAGTAAGTGACAGAGCAGCAGCTAAATCAGGATGTGGGCTAGCTTTTGCGCCCGAATACGAGGCGGAACAGGTTCAAATGGGCATGTCAAAAATCTTACTAATTTAACCGTGTATTCCATTTAAAGAAAACAAAAACTCTATTCAAAATAGACTGTCTGATGACTGAAATATCGATGATTTAATATCAGAAAAAGTAAAACGTACACTACTACTCAAAGGTTTGGTTGTCACTCCGTTCATTTCTGTCTGTTTTTTTTTTTTTTCCAGCCACATAAAAAATTTAAGCAAGCTTTTGGAGATTGAAAGCTACATACATAATGGTTACTGATTATTTCGAAATTGTATATACACTTCTGAAAGAACACATTTTCGAGCGTCACTCCACGAACGCTATGGGCTACAATACTGAACTTGATTTTGTACAAATAAAAAATCTAATTTCTCAAATGTATTAATTGTACTGTATTTTATTTTATTTTTTTAGAGTAGCAAGACAAGAAATTGATGCATGTCACTGTTGGGCTATTTATAGGCCAGTCCTGAGGGGTACCCATGAAGTCACCATGTGGCCTCTTGGTGAGCTCTGGTTTTGATTGTGACTCCAAACTTTTGAACAGTAATGTGCATGTAATGTTTAAAAAATGTCTTGACTAATATTGTTTCATTTATTATTTTACAATACATCGATGATCCAATTATTTTAATTTGAAAAAAAAAATCCATTGATCAATTTAATTACCGGTAACCTATTTTAGGGAGAAAAACAAAGATATATTAAAGGACCCTTTGTTGGATTAAAGAATACTTTGCTGAGTGAAACAAGTAAGAGAACACGCGCGTTTTCAAGTACAACTGCAGAAGTCTGATCAAATGCTCAACTTTGACCTCGCCCATTACAATTGTCACTCTTCTTCTGTACAAAAGGATCACAAGTGTGCAGATTGTCTCTCTGCGGCTGCTGCCCTCTGTCCACAAATCTAGGTGCACAGAACACGTGATGTACTGTTACCATCACAAATTATGGCCTTCAATCTGGCAAAGCTGAAACAATTTAAAGGTGGCAAAAGAATTTATTCCGTGTCCTTGACATGCATCTTAATGTCCACGTACCAGGTGGCAATTTGTCCCCAAATACCAGGACAATTAAGCACATGAGGGGAGAAAATGAGTTGGACTCATAGAACAACTGCACCTTACTACTCATGTTGTACAAGTGCAGACGAGTGCATCGGGCTTGAGCTGGATATAAAGGACGTGGAATAAATGCTAAAACGTGCTTCCATATGCATTACTAACTCCGCACAAATGTTTTTCTCTCTCCTTTTCTTTTCCTTCTTTGTGCTGCTGTGCTTCCTTCAATAATACATGAACCGCGATGTACCCAATCGGACTTTAAACTGAAAACAGGCGTGAGGAGCACGACAACCAAGGCAAGGGATGAAGGAAAAAAAAGCAGCAGAGACAAGAGTTAGCTGCCATGATGTGTGAGGACAAGATGGTGAAAACGGGAGGATTGCGGATTGCTTTTTTTTTTTTTTGTGTACGCTCTTGCCTCTCATCCATCTCATCCACATTCTCAAGTCCATATTCATCCTTCGTGACAGGCGACGCTCAGTAGAAGAAGTACACTGCCAATGACGCAGAGAGAGGAGAGAGAAGTCATTAGTCTAATGGTCCCCCCGCAATATATCACAAACCCTCATACAAAGAACAACCATGGATGGAAACATAAAAGCTTGTTTTTACCACTGACACGCAGTGTTAGTTAGCTAGCTTTGCCTAAACCAGGGTTATGTAATTTTTTTAGTTTTATTTTTTTTTATTTTAAGGGGCAGGATGAAATGCTTCATTTTAGTTGAATGGTCATTCGTTTCAGTATTAGTTTTAGCTTTAAAAAAATATTTGTGGAGTTTTTGTCGAGTGCAAGATTTTTAAAAAAGTAACTAAGTATTGCATAATTTGATAGATTCCCAAACAAGCAGAAGAATGGTGTGTGCAATTTCTTTGACAATTGAGCAGGGTGTGGTTTCGAACCAAATGCGAACCAAAGCATTTGAGAGCGGACACAAAGGTTTGATTTATTTATTTATGTGCTTACTTGCTTACGATTTTAAAGTCTGAACTTACATTCTGGTGATTTTTTTTGTTCACTCATTCTAGTTGATCAGGGCTACAGGGACAAAGGAGACCCTCGTGTGTACTCACAGAATATTATTCCCACCACGATGACGCCAATGATGCCCATCATGATCATCATCTGAAAGGAGAAGAAGACATCAGCAGTGACATTTGACCTGCTCGAGGGACCTGCGCGCGTGCGCCCACCTTGCAGTTCTTCCACCAGTACTTGTTCTTGAGCTTGGCCGCGCAGCTTTCGAACTGCGACGCCCCGGCTTGGAGGGCGTCCGCTCGGTCATCCAGCTCCGAGAGCTTTTGGTCCCTTTCCAGAACCTTGTCCACATTCACCCTCATGATGTCCACCACCTGGCGGTCCGGGACGGAAAAGCATTTGGTGAGTATTTTGGAATCACAGGAGTCTCAGATTGTGTGTATGTGTGTGTGTGTGTGTGTGGAGGGGGGGGGGGGGGTACCTCCTCAACTTGGGCCTGCGTCTGCTGTAGCCTGCGGTTGCTGGAGGTGTTGGGAGGTGCGGGAGGCGCGCCTCCTGGGGCTCCGTCTGCACCGGGGGCTCCCGGAGCCCCGGGGGCTGCGGCATCTGGAGCGGACCTGAGACGAACCAGATTCACAAATCAACTTGTGGAAGAGAAGAGGAAATAATTGAGATGAGGACACAAGGGGACGTAATCCTTTAGGTGCTCCAACTCAATTTTATGTGGCCCTCAAAAGCAAATAGCTTGCAAGAACGATTCATGCTTCTTGGAAAATTTCTATCAAAATTGTCTTCATTTTCAATATCGTTGAAATATTGTGAGCAGCAGTTAAACAGATCAGTCAATAATTCTTTGTGATATTTAATGTCACCCCCAGTTGAAGCAAACCTGAAGCAAACAAGCTACGTGTATTAAAAACAACCACAAAGCCTTCACTTTGGCTAACAAGTCCGTTTAGCGTAATGCGAGCAAAACAAAACGCCATAGAGGGCCTAACGAAAAGCATCAGTGTTGCGGTGTTACAACCCTTCAAGCCACGGATATTAGGATCAACACATGTAGTCAAGGAACCTAACATCCATGTCAGATAGGATACAGAACCGGCAAAATACAAGCGTAAAACAAACAAAATACAAAGAGCAGCATGAAGCAGAAATGAAAAGAAATGATGAGGCAGGTATCTTAAGGTTAGTCCACTTTTTTTTTTTTTTTACCGTGAATTATTTAACTCAATTAAACAGCACATTTAGTGGAACTAGGATGCTCAAAGTGACTCCAACAAATACATTGCGCCATTTAGATCATTGGCGTCAGCAAAAAAAAATGAAGATGAACAAACGAGACCAACTTTTTGATTTAAAAAGACAAATACACACAACCTCATCTATAAACACTCCTTCACAAATAAATCACTGCAAATCCGCATAAACACTCACATGTTCTATGCAGCTGTTTGTGCTGACTCAGCGGAGGAGGAGGAGGAGGCGGACGGGAGATAGGAGGAGGTACCGGGAGCTAACGAAGTCTCAACGATGAACAAAAAAGCAAAGAAAGCAAAGAGTCACGCGGAGTAAACGGCCCTCCAAAAACAGAAGAAGTTTGTCAAAAAAAGCATCAAAGTGCCGCAGTGCAGCACCCCCCCCCCCTTAAAAAAAATCAGCCGAGTCAGCAAATAGAAGAAGTGATGCTGAGATCTGCTCCTCGGCATCCAGCTCCTCCCCCCTGAAAAAAGAAAAGAAGCAAAAACCGCCTGACTCGATGGAGGAATTTCCACTCCGGAAGCTGGCGAAGATGATTTCGAATGTTTTCTTCTTTCTTGGTCGCGCTTGTCTGCGCCTGCGTGGAAGACGAAGCGTGATGCGCGGGACTGCTGCTGCCGTTGCTGCTGCTGCAGTAATGCGTCGAGTTCCTCTCCCACCTTTCCTCACTTGGACTCGGAGACACAGTGCGGTACTACCCCGTCCCCCCCGCCCCTCCTCCACCTGCACACTTTGCAGTCCTGGAGGCCGAGCTCGGTGAAGGGATGGAAGTGGACGTCACTGCAGTGCGTGGATGTCCACGGAATATTGACTCGACTCTTTTTCCACTGATGGATGGAATTCCACTTCAATGTAAACATATGTTTGAATTCGTTTGTACGTACTGTTCAGGGGTCCTCGCTTTACGACAATTCGAAGTTACGAGTCAAAAACCAATTGAAATGAAGAGACATCAATACGTGGCAATATGCCCTTATATCTATGATCTCTAAATACTTATCAGTGAACCCAGGTAGGACAGCGATTTAAAAATAGTCATTCTGAAAGACCTGAGGGTCCCTTTAAAAGGTTGCCACAAGATGGAGACAAAATGAACAGTAGTTATTCCTTGGCACAAAGATCCCACAAAATGGCATTGCTTTGGCCAGTGCCAAACTGAAAACGATGCGCCGGTTGCCAAATGTTTCAAACTTATCTTGCGATATTACTATACCAAGTAAATAGCTGGCTTTATAGCAAAGCACATACTGAGCAATATACAATTCCTACTAAAGGCAAAAAAAAAAATAAGATGACCCATTTGCACGGTCCACACCGTGGTATTCTTATTTATTCATTTATTTTTTTATCATTTAAACCTAAGTTTAAAATAAATGTGAAAATCAGTGCAGTGCTGTGATTGTGAATGTGATGTTTATGTAATTGAATGAAAAGAAATTTAAAACATAGCGAAAAAAAACATGACAAAGATGAAAACAACAGACAAAGCATAAAGGAATGGAAAGGTTCTGATAAATTTCCATCCAAGACACACACCCACACAACTTACAAAAACAACTAACTACACAACTCTGTGGGACGCCATTGTGACGCGTTAGCGATGTTTGCCATAGCGGTTGAAGCGTCTGTAGAGGAAGCGGATCCTCTTTTCCAGGTTATGTTTTTCCAAAGTCATCATTCGGTCTCCCACCATCCTCTTCTTTCTAGTGAGACGCTGCAGCTCGTTGCCCTTGAAGGCCTTCAGCCAGCAGGGGGCGATGATCAGGTCTTTGGGGTGAGCTTTGAAATCTCCTGCGGAGGCACGCACAATCACCGAGAGGAGCAACGAATACGGTCCAACTCTAGTGGACTTTCTATCAAGAACAGGTTCGTCTAACATTGTTACCTAAGATTCCTATGTTGTCATAAACTCCAAACATGCTCCTTTTCTCATCCCACCTGTCCACCACTTTGGGCTTGGGGATAGCGTTCATCCTGATGTGGCAGCACGTACCTGCAAGTGGCACATGAGAACTTCGAAGTCTGGATTTGCACTGCACGGTATCAGTGGCAGAATTCAGCTCAATTGGGAAATGAAAGATTAGGTTGTCTTATTTACTTACAACAAAATAAAACTAATACAAAAAAACGGAGCACAAAACGCAGAAAACAAGCTTTTGTGTGAAAAGACAATATTGTATAGATAACAGTGAATCGTAAGTCGCGACCATCGTAAACCGAGGAGCCGCTGTGCAGTTCTTACCACTGGAGAAGGTCCGAGCTGGGTCGCGCAGAGCTCCCGCCGTCCGCAAGAAGGCTGCTCCTGCTCGAAGTAACCCCCCAACAGCAAACATGTCTTCTGCAAAAAAACGAAAACAAAAAAAAAAAAAAAAACACCGATTGGGGACATGAGTATATCACGTACGTGCTGGTCTTTTGCCCGGTTTCTTTTCCATTGATTCGCCCTCCATGTAGCTAGAACTAGCACACAACACAAACTTTTGCTCTTCGTCGGCAAATAAGAACCGTCGTGTCACACTGAATTTAGCATTTACCCTTTTTCAGTTGCACCCCAGTTGAATATGTTGTTATTCAGACTATAATCATGGTAAGAAGTGACACTTGAAAAGCTCCGTTATTGACACTTGAACGTGATGACCGAAGGGGCAGCCATCTTTACGCACTGTCCCACAATGCATTGCGCCGGGCGGACTACCGTAAAGCACTTTGTAAAGGGAAGCAAAATGTCTGGTAACTACCTTAGCGCACAACGTTAAATAAAAAAAAAAGGAAACGACACACAGCATGAAATAAACATGTAATCCCTGCCGTTTCGGTCATTAAATCTTTGCTTTTATGTATTTTGAAAATATATAAAAAATATTTTTAAAAAGTCAGATCATGGTGAACAACTAATTTTAATCAGAGATGGCTGGATGTGTAACTAAACGTATTTTTGACGCACTTTTTGAAAATGTCTTTACTTTTTTTTAAGCATGTCAGATTTTGAGATATTTTCATTTGTTGTTTTTGAGTTTGACCAGTGAAAGCTTGTTGTGACGTTTCAGGAAAAAAAATCCACCTGTTGCTGAACCTAATTCTATTATATTTTTGCTCCTAATGTTAATAGTTTTATCATGATTATGAAAACCTGTTGTGTGAGAGAAAAAATTATGGCAGATTCTGAATTAATGCCAAAATTCATCCTGTAAAATTGACTTGCATTTCTGATTATTATTTTTTATTTTTGTAACGATATTTTGACCAATGTCATGTGTGATGCAGATGTCACAAACTTGTGAAAAAAAGTTCACATAAAGTTGTTGCCATCGTTTACTCACAAACAGTAGACACGAAAAGTCTACACATCCCTTTTCAAATGTCAGTTGTCTGTTTTTGTAAAATAATGAACACGATAAATAAAATCATATTTGATGAAGCATTTCAAAACTTTTTCAATGTATAACTTGTACAACTGAATTGAGAAAATATTTTCAAGCAGAAAATTTAAAATAACTGACAATGTAGTGGCACATGTGTGCACACAACTCGCAATGTGGTTGTGTTGTGAATTAACCATTCATCTTCAAACTCAACTCAACTGTATTTCTAGAGCACTTTCAAACAGCCATCGCTGCAATTAGCTGGCGAATATTCCAAGGTTTTGCTGGGAAAGCCTCCAGCTCATCCATGATCTTTTGACAATAAAGTTGTATCCAATCCAATCCAAATGATCCCAATGAGGACAAGTGCTATCGAAAAATACAAGGCTGGAATATAGATTTAAAAAAAAAAAAACATTCCCTAATTTGAATTGCATTAATTCAACAAGATTGGTGGATTGTACTGATACTGACACTTTGCGAGTGGCTGGAAAATTGAAGATTACAAGAATTGCACACGCACACACACGCACGCGCACACACACACACACACACACACACACACACACACACACACACACACACACACACACACACACACACACACACACACGTGCGCGCACATGCAAGCTTGAAACCTTCAGTTTCAATGTGGTTAAGTGCTGGATGGAACAGTTTGTCATCTTCAAAGCAGCGAGCTCAGCATCATTTGAATTTGTCTCCGCTTCAGTCTGATGAGTGTCAATGTTTGTGTGGAAATTAGACAGCCTGAAACTATTAAATGCACGTTTCCAATGAATTTGTGATAGAAGAAGCAGTGGATGAGTTGACCGGAAATCTCAGGCAATTGACATGAACTCTAAAAGTACATGAAATAAAATTTAAAAAATGAGAAACAAACAAAAAAATAATGTATCACATCTGCAGTAGAAGTGCTGACTTGACCACATACAACTTTGACATCTTCTCTTGCCAGTATCCGTCGTGAGCGGAACATTTTCTATCGTCAACAAGTTTGAATAACAGGCGGCGTGACAGACCTCATTTGCATATCGCTCTTGTGCAATTTCTTCAAGTTCAAAGCTTTGTGGTTTCCACGTGAGGGTCTGTTTCCTCTCTCACGGTCGTGTGGTAGAAAAGACCACCTTGGAAAGAGCGGCACATGACTCACTGTAGCCACAACATTAGGGACACCGGCGCCTGCACCAAAGATCAGCTGTGTCATCAATGGGGCTCTTGCAAAACATCAGAATTTCCATTAAAAGTGGCGTAAATGCATCGTCGTGTCTTAAGACTTCCTTTCTTGGGCATTCTTTTCGAAGTCTCTATTGTGAAAACAAAAATAACATCACCGATTAATTGCTGTGTCAAACGCGCTGGTCACGTCAATCTTAAGGTTAGCTTAGCAATTAGTGTGGCTTCTCTGTCTTTTCTGGACATCTCTTCCCGAAAATGATGCTTGTCAGAAATGGAGGTTATTTAGTGCCACGCAGGCAACGATGACTGACTTTGGGGGCGATTTTGCGACGTGTTTCGCTGCACTAGTAGTCGGCCGAAGCTGTTGCTAATTAGCTGCCCGTGTGGAAGAAGCACAGCGCTTCCCTCGACCTACGAATCCTCGCGGCGGGTGATGTGAGCCCAGTGAAACATTTTGGGGAACCATCTTGGTTGTTGTTGTTGTTGTTCTTCTTCTTCTTCCCTTACTTTCTTTTGACAATTGAGTCGGTGTTTGATTCTCAGTTTTGCTATTCCGCGCCTACTGTATCAATGAGGCGCAAAGCACAAATTTCGACCTGCAAACTGGGACGCAAAATGGCTTACTTCGAACCTTGTACGTGTAGTCTTCGCGCTTGCTTCACACTTACCGAAAACCAACACGTGGCTTTCTGACAGTGTTCATTTTTTGGCTAGCCTGCATGTGTGAGTTCAGACCGACACTGTATGTGAAAACGACTGATAACGGAGCGAGTGAATCACAGTTTCTGTGTTTCTGCATGAAGTTGTTGTTTAGGGAACCTCGTGCAGGGCTTTACTGGTGATGATGTCAAGCCGACAAACCGACAGTGACGTAGCACACGAGAAGGTGAGGCGCTTTTGGGGTTCGCTGATACTGAGGTGTGAACAACAAGTCGGGTTTCATGACGCATGGGGAGACTAATAATTGTAAGCCTCTTTTGAGTCTGCAGAAAGTAATAGCAAACAAAATAAGTTTGGCATAAAGCGCAGTGAAGACTATTTTTTGGTGGGCAATATTTTCAATGGAATCATTTCCTTCAATTGTCATTTTTATGCGCCGTACCGTGCGAAGCATTTATAATGTAGTATAGCCAATACGGAGAGTTTTTCCAATACTGTACACGACTTGACCTATTTGATTTCTATCGATTATGCTTTCTCACAGGTTAAATATTGCCTCATTGTTTTGTAATTGCATTTTTGATGGTGACGATTATAGTATTGTAGTCGTAATGTATTCTGATTGACTTGACAGGTCCCATCGAGTTTTTACAATCCATCTGTCTGATTCACACTCATGTTATGTTTATTTCTTCTCTAATAGTGTCCATGCAGGCTCAATGAGACCCGACGTGATTCATCACAAGGAAAAAACAAACAAACAAACAAACACTCGCGCACACACAAAAATCAATTCAATTGATTATGGAAAACATAAACAAAAGAACAAAGAAAAGGAAAATATAAGGTCCGCATAAAAAGTTGAATCCTCTTTTTAAGATATGTTTGGAGGGATGTTTGTTTTCTACATTTTCAAGAATAAATTAATTTCACACATTGTCTGAACAAAGGCAAGCCTTATGGTTTTTAATACAGTATTGCAAAGACAAAAAAAACGATTACAAATGCACGGAATTAATTAAAAAATTAAAAAACAAAACTATATAAAGAGCAGCAGAAGCTTCATCCAGTTTTGTTAATTAATTAATTAATTAATTCATCTATGTATTTATCTTTATTTTACAATACTTACAACTTTGAAGTGTTTATTTTTTAGTTGTTTTTTTTAATCTGCAACACAACAGTGTGCAAGACAGTAAATTTAGAGAGAGAGAGAGAATCCGTGGGAGGAAATGGGTCTCCCGCTATGCGTGTCTGATATTTTCCAAACTACCAAAAACTCCTCCCCCGGTCCTATTTTAAGGCCCTTACCACACGACAACAGCAAAAACCTCGCACACTAAGCACATCACTTCACCAGGCACAAGTAGAAATGCTTCTGATGTATTTGATCTTGGCTCTGATTCGGATCCCCTTCTCTGGTATTGGTCTGAATATTGCCTTTTGGAAGCTTCATTTTATTTTATTTATTTATTGATTTATTTGCTATTTCTGATGATTTCTCTCATTTCATGCAGAGGCTCGCCATGAGCTACAAGAGATGCTTGCTGAGTCCAACTCACAAGTTCTTCTCCCATGTGACTGCAACAGCTCTTCGTCAATCGCCATCACCTGGACCAAGGATCACCAAGGGTAAGACCACTCAATTGTTTTTTGTTTTTTTTTGTTTTGTTTTTGTTTTTGGATTATTCATTGCAGGACCCCCCCAAAAAAATATTTGTATGCTCTCAACACAAACGCATGTATTGAAACAATAACACTTATTACAACACACTTTTTAAAATATCCCTTCGCGCCTGTTGTCAGTCTGTCAAGAAATTAAAGATTATTGTATCAGATTTGTGACCCACACAAAATATGTGATCGGATTTGAGTTATTTTGCTATATTTAATTTGATTGGAGGAAATGTATTTTCCAGGTTTGAGTTAAAATATGTACAGTATATGTACACAATTAGACAGCAGGGGGCAGTAGAGGAACAGCGTAGTGTCAGCCGCGTGCAGTTGTTTTCACAACAAGCTGCCGTAAATTGGTGTGTCTGCCCTGCTGTGCGCGTTCCATTTTGGCACTGCAGTTGAACAAGCAGCAACCGAGCTCCTATGCCTATCCTGATTTTAGAGGACAATTTTTTGTGGTTGACAGGCCTGCCAAACCAGGGTCTGTTACAAGATCACTTTCAGGGAAACCAAAAGTGGACTGGCTCACACACTTCTTCCCATAAGAGGCTTCAAACGCTTTCCAAGTCACTGCCAAGCTGACATAACAAATAATGCAGTGGTACCTCTACTTACGAAATTAATTGGATCTGGAAGAAATTTCTGAAGTAGAAAATTTTGTAAGTAGAGATGCGTTTTCCATGTAAATGGCCAGAAAGATGCTAGGTAATAGCCAATGGGAGAGCAGCTTAAGTATGTTGCGGTCAGGAAACTCGGAGCTGCGAGTATCAGCCCACTGTGTATTTTTATCTTTCATATCTCGAAATTTCTTCCGGAAGAATAGGCAATATTTTCCCGTTGAGGCGTTTCGTAACTTGAAAATTTCATATGAAGAGACGTTCGTCAATAGAGGTACCACTGTAATGAGTTTTACCGGAAGTCATGCAGTCAGCTCTGTGGCATTTTTCATGATATGTTAGCATTAATTAAGCTAACGGACATCGTTCAATAAGATGATCCGGTTTGGTGGAATATGTTGGCGTTTCAAACACCCCAATGGTGATAATTTTCCGATCCGCAGCACCGTATGGCGACAGGAGAGGAGCGGCTTGCAGTTTTGGGGCTCGAGATGGCTGCAGAAAGGTCAGCAGCGCGTGCGCTGCCCCCGCTGCCAGCTCCAGGCAGGCGACTGCGGCCTGCGAATCAGCGACGTCCGGGAGAAGGACGGCGGCCGCTACGCTTGCAAGTTTCAGAGCGGCGGACAAATCATCACGCGCCGGCTCGTGCTGAGAGTCATCAAAGGTAAGAGGCCTTCACGTTCGTAGACTTTTCTTACACTTGCCAAAAATAAATAAATAAATAAAACAATAAAACATAGAATTGACCTTGAATTTACAGAGATTTTAAAAACAGACTTCAAAATCACAAATCTCATCTTGAACATTTGAAAAACATGTTTGTGTTTGTCGTACCGTCAATACATCAGCACAATAATAAGAAATGCGTCAGAAAAACTACAAGGTGTACAATCGTAGTCTCCGATATTTGAATTTTTAAAAATGCAGATCGGAAAGAAGAGGCAATACATTCAGAAAAAAGAAAACAATGACAGCCCCGTTTTGTTTAGCGGAGATGCCGGCGCTGTTGGTGTTATTGCGCCTGGATGGATGGATGGATGGTGGAGGCGTTTTTGGAACTGAGAGTCGCCGCTTGGAATTGGAGCGGATCTAAAATTGACGGGAGAAGTGAAGCAACTTCTGGTTTACTTTCAGATTTAGCTTGTAGCCAACGTGTGGGACGTCGCGCGCGTTTTGAGCGTGACGTCGCCGAGCCACTGGTGAAAGGAGACTTTGATTGTCTCCTCTTTCATCTGTAGCCGCTTGAAAGGACAAGGCGTATGCAGGAAGAGTTGTCACGGTGGTATGACTGTCCATGTTTTGAAAGCGCTTGTATACAAGTAAAGATGTTTTTAATTTTTTTTTCCTTGGCAGTGTCTTTCTATCCGGTGGCGCCGGTGGCGGGGGTCCACGTTTCAATCAACTGCAGTGTGACCCCCAGGCCTCAAGGTGCCACAGTGCAGTGGCGAGTAAACAACGGCTCGTTTGCGCCTTCGAGCGGGGCGAGCCCGCCGACCCCTCGGTGGAGCTTGCAGGAGAAGGCGAGCGTGCGATTGGCGGGAGAGTGGATGTGCGTGGTGGCCAGCGGAGACGCGCAAGGCCGAGCCTCGGCTGCTTTAACTGTGAGAGGTGAGATGCGGAGCCCCTCAGAGCCCATGAGGGGTGGGTCGGCAAAAAATTCTGTTTTTGACTGAACGTTTGCGTCCCGTCCCAGGAATCGTCCACCCGTCCCGAGACGCGACCAAGGTTTACGCCGCCGTGGGGTCCGGAGCCACCCTCCCCTGCGTCTTCTCCCCTGGCTCAAATCCCTCGAAGCCCACCTGGCAGAAACTCCAAGCCGGTTCTCTCTGGAGGCCCGCTTCCTTCTCCTCTTCCCCGCCTGCTTCCCAGCCCGCTTGGGACCACTCGGCCCGTTTCAAAGAGACTGCCCTCGAGGACGAGGGAACGTACCGATGCGGCGGGGTGGTGGAAGGACACAGCCTGTCTCGGAAAGTGCAGCTGGTTGTGGCCACAAGTGAGTCGCGTCAAGGTCTCTCCGGTGGTCTTTCAAAATCAATCCTGCCTCACCCGGTTGCATGTTTGCAGTTGAGCGCAGCGTCACCTGGAAGAAAGCGCTCACGCTGACCTGTCAGCTGACGGACACCAGCGAGGTCACCCGCTACCAGTGGGTCCGCGTGACCCACGACGCCAGCGGCAAGCGCCGGGTGGAAACTGTCCAGGAGGGGAAGAATCTTCGCGTGAGTGACGTGTCGCACGGGGACGCCGGCGAATGGGCGTGTCGTTTTTTCGGAGAGCGGGGACTCCTGGGCAACGTAACGCAAGGCATCGGGCCTCCATTGGGTAACACATTGAATTAACTTGAAATCTTTTTTCTTTTTTTTTTTCATGCCTTGCGACGAGTTCCAGTTCAGCCGTCACATTTGACTTGATTTTTTTTTCAAATCGCAGATCACGCGAGTGGCTCGGCAGGAGTGTCGCCCAGCACCTCAGTCGCGCTCGGTGTCAGTGCTCTCCTGCTTCTTCTGCTCCTTCTTCTGGCTCGGATGTACAAGAACCATCAGAGGGTAAGAAACAAAAATATAATGGTAGACCAGAATTGAGATTTTTTTTTTTTTGTGGGGGGGGGGGTGTCTGACAGGATGTCAAATTGATTTTCTCTGCAATCGTATCCCATCTGTTTGTCCTACAAAAAGGCAACACTGACTCGGAATAATCTGAACATCATGAGCGAACATAAATAGATATGAGTGATAATTTACCGTAAAAAAACAAAAACAAAAGTGTTTAACACCCCCCCCTTCCTCTCAAAGATTTTTGGAAAAATCACGTTTTCCAAAATCTTGTTCTTGCTCTGCAACGCTCTTTTATTACTTTAAGGAAGCGATTTTTTTTTTTAACTTCTTGCTCTTTTCCCATGCAGAGAAAAAGAATTTTGCAGTACACCACGCTGGAGTCCATTCTCCATGCAAGGTCCAAGGAGCGCGAGGCAAAAGACCCAAGTCGAGTGAAAAAATGGACGCCACTCCAGACCTAAGCCACAAAACTGGCAAACCGCCTGGGAGCACTGGAGCAGTTGTGTTTTTTAAGACTTTTGGGCATTATTATTGCCCGCTCACTGTCCATCAGCGTTTGCAATTCAGGAGAAGGGTTAGGGTTAACTGTTGCTTTTCACCTTGACTGTGTGTGTGTCTTCTTTTATTCCACAATAAAAAAAAAAAAAAAAAATTAAACTGTTTTGGAAATGAGTACTAGTACAAAAATACTGTCGTACATCAGTTTTAAAAATCTATTTACACAATAACAGCAAAAGCACGATTTATATTACCTACATAAATAAGTTACATGAATTCATACCCAAGACAGACAACTGTGTGATTCTGCCCCAAAATGCAAAGGTGGCAAAAAAAAAAAAAAAAAAAAAAAAAAGCAAAAATGGTGCTTGTGATGTCAGACGTGTCGTCATGACTATTTGTCAAGGAGCGGTCAAGTTCACACCTGGCTGCAAAAATTGTCTTCCTGCTCGGAAAGATGCCACAAGATCAAAGACTGATTGATGTCCTCCAGGACTCCTGGGGTCCTTCGATGCGCCGAATCCTCTTGCAGCTCGTTGTCGTCGTCGTCATCGAAGCACCAGCCGGGCCAGTCCACGTTGATGCCGTTCGAAGGGACTGGACTGAAAGGATGACAGAGACACATAAGGGAATGGCTTCTCGCGCTCGTATTTTTCAACAGAAAGCAAAGCAGAAGGCCTTCACACAATAAAGCGATGCGGATTTCAAAGTAGGGTTAAGGTTGCTGAGTCGGGCTGCAAACTCATGGTTGGGGTTTCAAAGTACAGTTTGAAATGACAGGGTTTCAAAGTAGGGTTTGAAATTAGGGTTATAATTTGTAAGCTGGATTTGAAAAGGTGTTTGGGATTCAAAGTAGGGTTTCAAAAAAGGATTAGGGATTCAAAGTAGGATGGCAAACTAGGGTTTGGGTTTGAAAGTAAGGTTCGCGTTTCAAAGTAGAGTTTTAAACTAGGTTTAGGGTTTCAAAATAGGGGTTCAAACTACAGTTAGGATTTCCAACTAGGGTTAGGGTTTCAAAGTAGGCTTTGCAATAAGGGTTAAGGTGTCAAAATAGGGTTTAAAACTAGGGTTAGTGTTTCCAACTAGGGTTCGGGTTTCAAAGTAGGGTTTGAAATTAGGGTTGGGGTATGGACAGTGTTTGAAAGTAGGATTGGGGTTTCAAAGTAGGGTTTCAAACTAGGGTTGGGGTATCAAAATAGGGTTTGAAAGTAGGAATGGGGTTTCAAAGTTGAGTTTCAAACTAGGGTTAGGGTGTCAATGTATGGTTTGAAATTAAGGTTAGGTTTTCAAAGTAGAGTTTCAAACCAGGGTTAGGGTTTCAAAGTAGGCTTTGAAATTAGGCTTCTGGTTTCAAAGTAGGGTTTTAAACTAGGGTTAGTGTTTACAAGTTGGCTTTCCAACTAGGGTTAGAGTATCAAAATAGGGTTTGAAAGTTGGACTGGAGTTTCAAAGTAGAGTCCCAAACTACGGTTAGGGTGTCAATGTAGGGTTTGAATTTAAGGTTAGGGTTTCAAACTAGGGTTAGGGTTTCAAAGTCAACTCTGAAATTAGGCAAAAACAAAAAAACAACTCAACTCATGAGCCTACCCTCATCCAATTTTCAACCCAATCTGTTGGTTCCAAACAATCAAGGCAAATTTGGTACCCCAATGCGCTCAAAATCCACCGCGACCCAGAGAGCGGCGTCGGACAACCACACAGCCTTTGGAGCTTGTTTTTCTACCTTGGCTCAACAGAGCCCGGCGGCGAGGTATCGTCGCGATGCGTTTCTCACCTGTCCAGCCTGTCGTTGCCGTCGCCATCCACCAGCTGCTCCTTCCATCCTCGACTCACCGTGAGGACTCGAGGCCTCCGCAGCCGCACCTCCTCCTCCCATTCGGCGTCTCTGTCGACGTCACTCGCAGAGCGCGATGGCGACGGGGACGTCAAAGGAGACGCAGGAAGCTTCCGGCTCTTTACCGTTTCCCCGTCTCTCGTTCGACCTTTGGCCCGCTGGAGAAGATCCTCGAGAGACGCCGCGGAAGCCGACATGCCGACGGGGCCATCCGGAAAGTGGAATCGCTGCTCCTCTTGACTTGACATGTTGGGAATGGACGCGCTCCTCTGGGTTTTCAGTCTGGACTTTTTATTCTGAAGGTCACGGGTCGTCAGTTCAGATTCTGAAAAGATCTCGGTGTCCGGCGACGCGATCGGAACGCTGTTCCAAAAAGTGCCCCTGGTGGGCTTCAGGGCGCCCAGCTTCAGCACAAAGTGAGATTTGGAGCTCTTTGGATTCACGCTGCAGTCAGAGTCCGAGTTGGAGGACGAGTTGTTGGATGCCGACCGCGCGGAGAGGCCTTGGTGGCCATTGTCCGTCCTCCTCTTTTGTAAAACCGGAGACCTGAAAGATTTTGCGAAGCCTTTGGACTCCGCCGAGCCGCCAAAGGTTGCAGGATTGTGGTTTTTCTCCCTGGAATAATTGACGGATTGGGAGTTCACTATCCTGGCATTTGCCGGTAACGCGGTCCCCTTCCCGGATGGTCGTCTTTGGCCGGGAACCGGCGAAGTGGTCATCTCATCTGTCGGGTAGTCAACATCCGGATAGCCACCTGGTACCAGAGTATTGGGTCTGCTCGTGACGCGTCGCAACGGGTTGATGACATCTGCACGCATGTGGGCTTCGTTCAGATTTGGCACAGATTGGGCGCTCGGTTTCGACGACGGACTCCATTTCTTCTCTCGATGGATCATACTTTCCGCTCCTCCTCTGCAGCCAAAGTCTTTGAGGACAAATTTCTGAGGCAAGACTTCAAAGTGCTTGTGGGGATTTTCCGACGCATGTTTCGATGCATGGGCGCCGTTTACCAACTGAGAGACTTCCTGTTTGCGGGGGGTGAGGTCCGAAAAGTCTTCCTCTTCTGAGATCAGCGCGTACGTCTCGTCAACCGCGGCGGATCTTTTTTTTACCGACGACTGCCTACTCTCGCCCTCCCTCATGGTCCTCAGTATCACCTGGCAGCGTGATGTAGATGAAAATGTGTGAGCAGCATGAAGAAGTCTCGAGTTTGAGGTGGAATTGCACAGCACCAGCAGCAGACTCATCTGATTTCAAGATTCAGAAGATTCGGTTTACCTTTGCCTGATGAACGGCGGACACCCAACTGGAGCAACTTTCCGAGGTACCGGCTGTGAATATGTAGACATTGACAGGACACCAAAGCTCCCCGACCTCCACCAGAAGAAAGGAACCTGCCAGAGGGGGAGGAGTGTCTCGGTGTCTCGTGGATCCATGGCCCCGTTCATGATTTGAATGCCTTCGGAATGGCTGGACTCACAGTTATCCTTCAATGCAATGCAGTACGTTCTGTCCAAGGCCAGAGGGGGCCGAACCACCTTCAGTCGCTCGGTTTTCTTTTGCACTTTGGCCATGAGAAGCACATCAGTGAAGAGAAGAGCCACCACCTCCAGCTGAGTCGTGACAAAACATGAGGACGTTGTTAAAAAAAACAAAACAATGAATTACAAATACTTTGATTCATTATGTCGTCAAATTAGGCTTGTTCTTTTTTGAAACTCAGTAGATGACTACACGGTGTAAAAAAAAGACAAGCAGGGGCTCACCTTGCTGTCTTTCCTGCCACGGACCTTCAGGTTCTCTTCCAGGAGCAACTTGCGGACGATGCCGTGACCGACCCCGACGATGGGGCACGTCAGGTCGAACTGGCAAATCTCTCGGACATGCTGCACAGGAAGTGTTAGGTATGAGTATCTTTCCCAATTCAACACACAGCTCTGGAACTCAATCAAGTTATCTGTCTAGCTAGCTCGCTAAAGAGTGAGCTAGCTTGCTAAGTAGCTAAATAACTAGCTTATCTAGCTATGTATCATCTGTCTTTATGTCGGTCGGTCGAAAACTCAAACAAGTGTCCCAAATACTGTTGTCGAGCTTGACAATGTGTTGAAATGTTTTGATGATTCACAGCGTTTTGTTTTTTTTAAATGGTTAAAATGCTACTGTTGAATGTGTTGAAAAGTTACTTAAATATTCCCTGTACAGATATTAACTCATTCACTGCCAGCCATTTTCAGACCTGCCTTGACACCACAATGTAAAAGAATATAAACACCACACACACACACACACACACACACACACACACACACACACACACACACACACACACACACACACACACACACACAAATACGATTTCTGGTTTCAATCAATGTTCCCTCTTTACTAAGAGAAACATTAAATTGAGATTTTCATGATTTTCTAGATCGCAAAGTGAACGAGTTTTGAAATTAGTTTCCTTGCTTTTTTCCAAGTATTACATCTGAGCATTACAATTTCTGTACTTTTTACTTTCTAACAATAGAAATAAATATTGCTGTAATAATATCGATTTGTTTTTACGACAAATGGGAGCGTAAGTGGTCATTCATTTCTGCGATTTACCTTGTCAATTTCCTCACTTATTCCCTCCATTTCGTATCCCTCCAGCCTCTGAGCGGAGAGCGAGAGCGCCGCCTCCTCGTCCTTCAGCCTCAGGTAGTCATTGATGCTCTCCAGAAACGTGTTCACGCTGGATAACTGAAAAGAGATTTTCCGGCTTTGGAGGGAGAATTCCCTCGCTTGAACGTGTGAAGTTTGACGTTTCTCACCATGCCGCGCAGGCTGCGCTGCACACGAGGTTCCTGGGTGGTCTTGAGCACCGCCTTGAGAAGGAGGGCGTACTTGGTGATCCTCTGGTGGGGTTTGGCCTGCATGTCGCCGATGCGCATCCGCGCGCACTGCGGGTGGGTCTCCACCCACTGCGTACGAGCACAACTCGGGATTACTACGTGCTCTTATTGCATTTTCAACGGCGCGCGTTTGACAAAACAAGAAGAGCCTTTGAAGTTTACATGTGGTTAACGACAGAGTCTGAAAGCTTGCACAAAAACCACAGGACCAGTTTGCGCTAAAAAGAAATAATGGAGGAGTAAAATGGCCAACGTTGGCACGAGGAAATCGTGTCTAATTTCCGTTTGTGGATGACATTTAAATCTAGAATAAGGAAATCCAGTTTTTAACGTTTGGTGCATATCACAGTTTGGCCGTGTACGTACGTATTTACTGTACTTGTCGCGTATGAACAAAATCTACATCGTGAGATTCCCCTGCGGAGCTCACCATCGCGATTTATCGACTCGTACGTTGTTGCACTTCCGCAGGCTCGGCGCACATGCTCTGTAAAAATGTCCGGTAAAACGGAAGCAAACCTCGCTGTCTGCGAAGGCTGAAATTATCTCTCACGTTCGAAAGGGACTCTCGCCGACGAAGCTCAGCCTCGACTCTGAATTGGCAAAGTCAACGATTTCGACAATCAACTAAATCATGGCAGAGTTCGAGGCAAACAGATTGAAAGACGAGCGTAAACGGCTTCGGGGCCTGGCACGTCCTAAATTGACGACAGTTGGCTTCGTTGCCGGCGCTGGCAGTTAATTGCCGATCGCGGGTAACGTTTGCTGACTCCGTGTTTTCCGAGATAAAGTCGGAGCCGCTACAGTTTGTTTCGTGTCTTTTAAAATAGTTTTTTTTCCTTCATACTCGACAAGCGTAATTGGCAAGTTTATACTGTAATACATGTTCGTGTTTTTACATCTATAAATGTTCATCCTGTATTAGACATCGTAGTTGGCGGCCATTTTATTGGAAATGGTAACAACAAACTACCGTTACATCCCTCGAGGTATGTTGTCAAGAAGCTCGACTGTATTTATATATACATAACCGTTACATCTATACTTATAAAGTATATTACAGTTTGATGCACACGATATGAACAATATTTACGTAAGTCTGTTGTGAAATTCGCCAAGACAAAGCTGACCTGCACGTATGTGAGGAATTGTGGGTTGCTTTCCATTTGCAGGCGTGCAAACTCGAAGCTGTTTTCCTCCTCCGCACAGTAATGGCAGTACGGTGAGAAGCGTTCACGGAACTGCAGACAGATAGACAACATTGGCCGCGTCTCGTGTTTTCCATTCATTGTCCAACTCCAAAATTGTGAACATTGCAAAAAGGTTTGTTTTGTTTCAGAAGTGCAATTCAAAAAGCGAAAGTCATAAAATAAAGCAAAATACACAAGATGTGTAAATGCACATCCATTCTTTTTTGTTGTTGTTATTATTTTACCGTTTTCAGACATCATTATAATCACGGAACAAACCAAAATTGTGTGTGCATGTACAGTATGTCTTGACGCGATATGGAAAGTGAATGCTCACCTGGAGGCAGCCCGCATTTAAGCCCATTGGGTTAAAAGGTTTGCCCGTCAAGCGGACTTCCTGTAACATGGGATAAATCACTTCCTGCCAGAATAGCTGGTGTGCGCTGAGGATGGCGGGAAGGTTGGAGAAAAGCCGCTCGGGGGTCACCTGACAGCACACCAAGTCAACACAAAGGGATTTAGATGCACATATGCGCGCGCACACATACAGTATACAGCATATGGTATCCATTATCGGAGCCCCTTTTATCCTCACGAGGGTGTGCTGGAGCCTATCCCAGTTGCCTTTTGGGCAGTAGGCCGGGTACACCTTGAACTGGCTGCCAGCCAATCGCGGGGCATACAAAGACAAGCAACCTTTCGCACTCACAGTCACACCTAGGGACAATTTAGAGTGTCCAATTAACCTACCATGCATGTTTTTGGAATGTGGGAGGAAACCGGAGTACCCGGAGAAAAGCCACACAGGCACTAGGAAAACATGCAAAGACACAGGGAAGACGGAGCCCGCAATTGAACCCCGGGCCTCTGCACTGTGAGGCGGACGTGCTAACCGGTCATCCACCGTGTTGCACTTAATTTAATTTATTTTTTTTGAGTGTATTGAATAAATATAACTGACAGTAAAAATACATTTTTACTTTGGTGCAAATACATTTCAGAATCAGATTTTTTTGTTTTACTTCAGGTAAGTGAAGGAGTTGAATCAGTACTCCTCTCAGTCTTTATTTGTATTCTTGGACACAAGTATCTGCACTTGTACCTCAGGACAAAGCGTGAGTACTTCTGCCACCTCTGGGTGTGCGCGAATGACATTTTCCGCCCTCTCAGTGGAAACACATTGTTTCAGATTTTGCACATCAGAATGTTTCCATTGAGATTCAGCGCGTGTTCTGCCAATGTGGGGCAATCAAGTGGTGAGGGTGGGTGGGGGGATGCAGGCTGAACTGACCTCCTGGAGGAAGCCGCGAAGGTGCAAGTTGACCAGAGCTGCGATAACCAACTGCAAGAAGCATCAAGGGGAGCTCTCAACGCACTTTGCATTTTGACACAAAACAGTGGGCGGCGTCTTACTTCTTTGATGACAATCAGTCTGTTGATGTAGTTGAGTTCGGTGAGCACAAACTCCCACATGGCTTCCTGCTGGTGCCTCTGCATTCGAGACATGATCTGGCAACAGATGGAAATCAAGCCAGTGAAATTGCTTTTCATTGTCTTACTTTTTATAATGTGAAGCACATTGAGCTATCTTGTTTAAGAAATGCGGGATATAATTAAAGTTGGCTTACCTAAGCCGAAAGAAAAATACCACTGTATTGTGTCATTAAAAAAATGTCGAGATATAATCGGGTTTTAGAAAATGTCGTGACTCTCCCTGAAATTGTGTTTGTATGTTCCCTTTGCCTTGCAGGGGTTGGAATCGGGCTGTCAGGTTTGCGAGTTGTGGCCACCAGCAGCTCCTCGCAAGTGCTCTCATGATCATGTGTTTGAATGTTACATTCAATCAACGCACAAAGGCACTTTGTGATTCGGATTATAAAGGCATTTTTTTTCCTTCATAATTTTGGTCCTGGACTTCAGAGGTTCAACTGGATTTTTGAGAGGAGCGCCATTTTTTTTTTGGGCGGGTGGAGTCGGTGTTCTTACTGAGTGCGAGTTGACGATCTCAGTCCAGTTCCTCTCCAGCATACTTCCGTGGCTTTCCTCCCTCCATCTCCACTTCAGGCTGATGGGCACGGCGAAGGTCTCCAGCTCCTGCTTCAACACGTCCAGCTGACTTCTTTCCTGAAAGGAACAGAAATGGACAAAAAAGAGAAAGAAACTGTCACTCTGGAAGTGGGCGACTGCAGCACCGGAGTGTCATGATTCATTCTTTTGGGTCAGGAACACGGTGCATGTTGGATGCTGTCAAATCTCATTTACCGTGGGACTAAAACATAGCCCCGACTGACTCTCTGTTCAAAGAGTGAAAACTTCCCACTGGGTTAATTCTGAACACAGCCACATCCCCCGTTGGAAACCAAATAACTGGAACTGTCACAGCAGCTAAAGACCTAGGAGTAAGTCCAGTGGTACCTCGACTTCTGACATTAATTGGTTCTGAAAGAAATTTCTGAACTAGAACATTTTTTTAGTTTAGACACATTTTCCATGTAAATACCCGAATCCGTTCCAAGCCCCCCCAAATTCAGACATAAATGTTTTCTAAAGCATAAAAATGCATCAAACTATGTAACAAATACATGTTACAATTAGATTATTGCACAATAAATGAGAGCTGTGCAGCATGTAAAAAACAAAGAATAAAGAATGAAAAGGATGGTCATTTAACTGTTAACTGCGTCCTCATTGGTTTTTTTTTTTTGCCCTCTTTAGTCCATGTTCTCTCTCAGAATTGGTTTTTGCCTGGCGTTGTGTAATGAACTGATGATCCAAGGACGTTTGCTTTTGTCAGCTTTTAACAATCCTTCGAAAATGTCCAAGGCAAACATCAACATAGTGAGCGATTGCCCGACTGGTGAACACTTTTTCTGGGTCATTCACATTTACGTAAAACTATCCGAACACCTCACTGCCCGAGTGGCGAATGACGAGGAAGCTGTATAGACACCTGTCTATCTATTTACCTGTCTGCACACATAGACACATCCGGTAGAGGTCCCTCTTAGCCAATGGGATGCCAGGATGATGCTCGGTAGTAGCCAATGGCAGAGCAGCTAGAAGTATGTTGCGTTCAGGAAACTCAGAGCTGCGATTAGCAGCCCATTCTGTATTTTTTACCTTTCGTAACTTGAAATTTCTTTTGTAACAAGAGGCAATATTTTCCTGTTGAGGCGTTTCGTAACTTCAAAACTTTGTATGAAGAGACGTTCGTAAGACACTGTATTTGTAACTCTCTAAGTAACCTCAAGTGAAACAGTCACCATGTACATGTCACTAGTTGGAACTGTAACTAAGTACTGTAACTGTAGCTAAATAATTGTAACTCAAGCAATTAAGCAAAACGTGTCAGGAAAAGCCTGCCAGACCAGCTGAACTTAATTTGGGGTTAATCACGTCAAATGGCGGCTCCCATTGAACATGAGCTTGAACGTGATGGTTCATTCTGAGTGTGACCACATCCCCAGTTTGTAACTGTAATCAACTCTAGCTGCCTTGAACAAAATACCTGCAAATGTAAGTAAGTAACTAACTGTACTGCAACTAAGTAAATGTAACTAAATGTAACTGTAACTAACGAAGTGACTGAAGCAAAGAAAAGCAAGGGAAAAAAATGCAGCCGTGCAAAAAAACTTTGCGTTGCCTCGCAATGAAACGTTTGCAAGGGAAAGCAAAGGTTTTTCTTTTCTTCCAGGTCACCTTAGTTGCTCCTTAGTAACTAACTGTAGCGGTAACTAAGTACCTGTGGCTCTATCTTACTTGTAAAGAAATACATCTAACTGTAAGTAAGTAACCCTGCCTGCACCGTAGCTGAGGAACTGAAGCAAAGCAAAGTATAAGGGAAACATGCCAGGGAAAGCCTGCTAGAACAACAGAACTTTTTATGACCACTGCATTTTATTATTTTTTTCTGAGAGTGTGTTGTGTTGACACACACTGACAAGACGGTACCTCGGCTGTTAGGTTCCTATCAGACACTCCCTGGTTGAGAAAAACTTGTTTGAGCGCAGCTCTGGGTTTGGCCGCTGTTGACGCTCCCTTAGTCACTGTTGAAAAGTTGCTCACAACTTTCTGCCTTGTCCGCATCTGCAACCAAATCGAGAGCAGCAAGACTGTTCACGTGAAGACATTAAGCACATCGGAAAGTGGCTCTTTGTTTGGAAAAAAAAAAAAAGCTAAATCCCTTAAATTCTTTCTGCGATAGCAAATGCAGCGATAAAATTGAAGTCATGAAATCAGAATTGCATGAGCTGCAAAACGAAGTTGGGTGAGCAAAAAATGTCAAACTTCAACACAATATTTGTTTATATTTTTTATATAAATATGAAAAAAACATGCAGATGCTGCTTAAAAATGAACTTTAAAAAAATGAATGCGCATGTGGTTAAAATACCTCATGCTTAGAAATATAATTTTTTCTTTCACGCATCCATCTGTCATTTTCTCACAAATCATTCCTGGCTGTCAGTCCGCCTTGTTTCTCATGCTAAATGTTTGCCCGCTCATGAGGACAACCGCTGCTCTAAAACAAAAATGTACCCCGAGGCATCATTAAGTGGGTTTTTAAGCCCCTCCCCAAATCAAAAGGTCAGATTGTTGCGCACTTGCCTGAGGGCCATACGTGTAGAACTTGGCCTTGTCTGGTGGCACCTTGTGGTAAAAGTGGAGGTCTGCCGGGGTCTGAATGACGACGACGGACCCACCGAGGTCCGCCGCGTCGCCGGCGTCACGTGACTGCGCCGAGGCTGCCTCCATTGCTGACGGGAAGTCTTCTCAGGGGATCATGTGACCTTTAGGAGGGGCAGGCGGCGTCTGGCTGGGTCATTGCCAGTTCAGCTGAGGGAGGAGAAAGTCAAACTGCATTTGAGAGCCCGACAGACGGCCGACATCGGCCTGAATCAATATTTGCTGGCCGCGTGAGGATGAATTTGAAATCTAATTGGGTGAAGAAAACCTTTTATTCTTAATGACATTGGCCAGCACTCCTGAGAGATTTGGGCAGATGAGATTCATTCAGACAAAAGCTGACCTTTGACGCCATGTCATGACAAGCTGGGTGCTCGGAGACTATGTTGAAGTGAGTTGAGAAGCTTCGTTTGGACAAAAGTAGTGCTTTGCCACCATCTTGCGGGCTCTGTGGACTGAAGCCTCATTGACATTTCATTGCATTCCAGCCAAGTGAGTAACAGCGCGAGAATTGCGCAGCTAGAGCTGGTGTCTAATGGCACTCTGGCTGCAAGCTCTTCTTGGCGGTCACCCCAATGTCATCAACGTGCCCCCCCCCCCCCCTCGCCCCTTCACCACGAGCTTTGAAGTTACGAGCCGGCGACGCCACGCCAGCTCTCAGGAAGGTGCAGTGGCTTACACTCACCGGACACAATATTAGGTACACGTGCACAATGGAATTAAATCCAATATCGGAGCGGTTTTGATCATAACTGAGTAAAAATGACACAGCGCGACGCTTCTAAACGGTCTCTGGAGTCAATCCATATCGGGCGCCAGGGTTTGGAATTGAAATTTCTTTTCACCGGCCACAGCAAGGAGAGTCTAGAGCCTCATGACATCAGACTGCAAGGTCTCGCGAATATGGTGGTTGAATAAATATGAAAAACACCTCTTACGACCACCCTCCTACATTCCTCTTCATCTTCACTCAAGACATAAACAATAAAGTGCAGGCTGTGGATTCCTTGAAAATCAGCCATCCTCAAAAGGTGGTACGGTACCGGCAATGGTCGGCTGCAGAGAAAAATGGTTGCCTAAGTACAGTACTGTACACGGTACGCACATGTTCACAGTGATTTACAATCATATTACATGTACTGTACTATTGCGTATTGTTGGTCACGACGATGGTCGTTGTCGAACTACTTTCCAGGTGGAACTTGGCGTCAAAAGTTGAAGAACAAACATATCTTTAAATGCAGTCATTGCCAGCGAGTGTATTCATCCGAAGTGTGACGTGTTGCCCGGAGACGGCAAAAACAAATGCCGGCACCTTGAAACCAGCAAGCGCATACTTACCCAGATGTGAACTTTGACCGGAAGTATCCCGGAAATTTCAAATTAATCCAACAATGTCCACCCATGAGAAATGTTTTTTTTTGTTGTTGTTGTTCTTTATCCTTCAGGTATGAAAGCTGCTCGCGGAGTGCAATTAATTTTCAAGCTTCCTGGATTCTTGCCGCTTTGCCACGTTGAGCCAGCAAATGAATAACACGAATCCAACCCAGCGAGCGACACGATGAAGTCAACCGCCTTTCTCGGGTGACAACACCCACAAGACAGCGAGAGAAACGAACATTACCTGAGTGCGATTGTATCCTTTTTGTGTGTGCGCTCGTCCAACGGTCATTTTGGGTGTTTGGCTTTCTCTCCGGGCTTGGCTGGGTCCGTCCCACCGTCCCTCCTTTCACCTGGGCGCCTTTCCCTCTGCCCTCTCGCAACTGGCCCGACGGGAACGACTGGATTGTGGCGGCCTACCAATCGCTTCTCTGATTCAGCGTCTCGCACTTGAAAAGCGCTGACGGATCGCCGCCGCACGACGTCGAGAGCGTCTCAAACGACGGCAAATTGCGTGGCGTCTGTTTGTGTTTTGCATTCCTCAACAGCGGTGTGGTGGCAAGTGACAAAGCGCAAATGATTGGCTCGTATAGATTTAACTGATTACTCAGGTATGTGCTTTACTTAAGTATTTTTAACCTTGCTTTTTTTTTTACAGTGTGGTAAAGATCGCAGAATCAGGCTTCAAAAGTACACTGAAAAAAGGTTTCCTCTTTCCAATTCATTCCATTTTATTTCGTCAAGTGGTTGCACGAAATAAAATTGTCTGAATCCAGATACGCGAACATGATTTAAGTAGACTGTACATGTACTTCAATTCACCACGCCATTTTTTTTTAGTGTATGCAAACAAAAAGTCATGATATCATTAGGCACGCAGGGCGTGAAAAGCCATGAGTGAAGTCGTACAAAATAGCACCACAAACGAGTAGTAATGAGGGCGAGGTGGCAAAGGCGAAAAAGTGCTCTGATCAACCAGAAAAAAAAAACATCGCAAGAACAGATTTTAATTCCAGCAATACCACTATAACGCCTCTAGGTGGCAGTGTCACCCCGCAAATACTACCTTCTCTTTCCATCTTCGTCATAGATTAAAAAAAAAAAGTACAGTAGTTTTAGTTTAACTTTTTGGAACCCGAGTTTTGAGCGCAATAAATTTGCATATCATTACATGTGATCAAAGTTAAAGGAAACAATGAGCAACTTGCGTTACGGCCTTGTTTAGCCACACACAATTACAACTTCAACAACTTCATGTGGGAATGTTGATGGGTGACGTGCCTGCGGATGAAAGTCATCATCAAGCCCTCAGTCGTCACTTTAACACTTCCCGCCCTCCCCCCTCCGCCCCCAACAAAGTTAATGACACGGCGTACAAATCAATTGACCTTTTATTCAAACAATCACAGCCCGCAGCTGTTCGGCACTCTTGACACACGCTGTCGTCATTTCATAATCCCCAGAAATATAATGCACAAAGGGGATGACTAAAGAAATTTGGCACACGTTACAAGTGCAAAGACGCAGGTGGAGCCTGACTGGTAAGAGAAGTTTGTACGAATGCTTCCATGATAGAGCCTGAAGGCTAACAAGCGGGTGGTGGAGGTGCAGCAAGGAGGTGAATTTCAAGTCGTGAAACTCTCCATATTTCCAGTCCTCGCAAAAAGTTTGGAATATATTCAGCTTCCTTGTGAACATTTCTGTTTACACAGTCACCTTTACAGAAGAGCTTTGAGATGGTCACTAAACTTTTGAATGTTGTTCAGTGTTCCAGGCTGAGACAGAGACTGGAAGAGTCACAGAAAGGCATCGAGGTAGATGTCTTTATCAATGTAATACAACAACAACAACAAAAACTTCCTTGTTAAACGACAGGAAGTTGTGGAAAAATAAAAGCAAGCACAGAAACATTGAACAGTTGAAGATTCACAAGTTTAGAGACGGTCAAATGAAGTTCACCAGTAGTCATACATTTCAGCTCCACCTTGAACCCCCCCCCCCCTCACCCACCCAAAGCCATTTTGTGAGTCTGTACTGTAAGTTTACCGTTTCAAAACATCCAAAGTGAAGAAGACTTGCAACATGAGTGCATACTGTATAGTGGAAGCCCCTCTTCCAATATGGGCTGACCCCCACAAAAACTATCAAAAGCAATATATACAGAAGAAGCTCGTACGTCCCGTGAGATGCAGCGGCCCAATTCAAACAGGAAGCTATCTTAAGCGGCGCGTAAACACCTGAACAAACATTTGGAGCGGAATAGCACCGATGTTACCTTTATGAGGCCCTCAAAATAATTTATTTCAGGGCCATCCTTTCCATGTTTAAAAAAAAAAAAAAAGGTCACTTTGTAATTAGACTTTATCATTAGTGTTGTTTAATTTCATTTTTTTTTCATTTGTAACGACTATTAAGGGGTGATGGGTAAAAATGTTGAGCTAAGGAAGCAGTTTGGGCGGATGTTGCATTGCTTGTTGTTGTCTACCGATGCATGCACACTGTAAAAATATATATATTTTTTCTAACAACACATTTGCAAAAAAAAAAAAAATTTTCTTTAATCCTCCTCTAGTCCCAAGCAGCAGCTTATTTTGCCTCTGGGCTCCAGCGACTCCGTTTCAAACTAGTGTACTCGCTTAAAAAGTAGAACGTTCATCCTTGACACTGTACAGTGGCGCACAAAAAAAAAAAAAAAACACATTGCAAATGCATCGTGCTTAAATAGTAAAAAGAAAAAAGTTTTTTCACCTCAAAAATAATCTGTTTGGAAAAAGGTTAACATTTTAGAATCATTTCCTCAAGCATTCACTGAGACAAAGTCACGGAAAAAAAAAATCCCATAGCCGTATTATGCATCAACATTTTATCGCCTCTCAGATTTGAAAAGAAGTTATGTTGGCGGTGCAAGAACATTTCGACAAGGACGACAATGAGAAGATTGCAGGTCCTTTTAGTTTTGGTGTATTCGCGTCCTCAGAAAACACTCGAAAGGTTTGTGGCAGCATCCAATCTAAGTTCAGTTTTCCACTTTTACTTAATTGCTCTGAAAATGATCCGACTCCCCAAAAAAACACTGGCCAACATCACATTTTTATGTGTCCAATGTATTTTTGATGCTGATTAAAAAAAAAAAAAAAAGCCTTTACTTTTTCCTGAGTACATCCGGTTTTTGAGATATTTTCTTTTTTTGTTTGTTTTTAAGTTTGACCTTGAAAACCTTGCGCAATATGACTTTTACCTTCTTTTTTGATTTACAGCGAAGACCTTTCAGGAAAAAAAAAATCCACCTAACCCTGAAACATGACTAAATATATGATTAGATTCCACATGATATTATTGTGACAAAAACCTGATGTTAGAGGAAAAAAACCAGGGCAGATTCGGAATCAGCACAAAAAAACAAAGACTTATATCTCGGATTAAAAAAATGTAGTTAAAATGTGTTGACCAGTGTCATTTATCTTTGTTCATCCATCTATGCCGGCGACATATATTGACACTTTTCAGACTGAGTAGAGTTGTGGGGAAACAGAGATGAGATGATCACGATTTCAGTCTATATATACACTTTTTGGGGACATCTTTGGTTGGCGGTGTGCTGTGGGATTTTTTTTCCCCCCAACCCGGTCAATAAACCTCGGAAACGCGAATCTCAAGCATTCCTAAAATATGGATCAACAACATTGACCATGACTTGGGTGTGACTTCCCGGCAGATTGTGGCCATTCGCGACGGCATTCAAATCCCTCCTTCAGTGCGTATTTCGGTTTCCGCGTCCGGCAGGTGGCAGCTTCACATCGGCCGCGGCGGGATCGTCACTGGTAATCCCGCAAGGGTCCCCCCGCAACCATTTGATCTCTCAGGGCGAAAGGTAGAAACCACAAAAGCCTTCTTGGTCCACGTGCAAGCGCTGCAACCATCTGGAATGTTCCCAGTTCGTCCTTGAGGTCCCGATAGAGAACAATACTCAGATTCAGGTGCGTGTGTTTTTTTTTCCCCCCACTTGGCACACATCCGAGATTTAGTGAATGCTGTACTTTGTCTCCAGCTCCTCAGCCACCGCCCCAAGGTGCATATGTTTCAGTTTCAGCAAAAGCTCCTGCAGCAAAGCCGAGTGCAGCATTCCGCCTCGGCCTCCTCCACCGCCGCCGGAAGCTTGCGAGCTGCTGTCCGCCCACGCTTTCAGCATCTGGTAGTGGGCCTCCTTGCTGGCGCGGTGGTCCAGCTCGGCCCGTTCGATGACCGTCTCGGTCACGCCGAGGGAACGCACCAGCTGCTTGACCTGCGTCACGGGAACCGAGTCGAGCAGCGTGTAGATGAGGTCGTGGGCTGCGGGGAGATGCGAGCAGAAGGATGATTCAAAGCGGGCCGTCATCCAGCATCGAATTTTAATCACAATTGTCATTTTGGCAGCCGTGGTTCAATTAACCCGGTTGCCGCCAATGTTGACATTTCAAATGCGGGCTCTACGGCATGTCTTTTCAAGCACTTTCACAGCCAACCACCAGGGGGCGAACACACGGTCAAGGCTTCCCGTAATTTGGATAAATTGACAAATTAGGTACCCTGCAGAGGGGAGAGCGGAAAGTCACTATGGAGGACTGAGGAGAGGGGTCATGTCGAGAGAAATATATTACAGCAAAAAAAATGGAGGACTCAAAAATTGGCCTGTTACTGATAACTGGTAAGGGTAATTGCTCATCCCAAGATAAAAATAATCATAATTTTTTGGGCCATAGTTGTGCAGGCCTCTATTCCCTAATATAGAAATATGTAAACAAATCTCCCAGATACAGCGTTCTGACCGAGCCCTTCGCACCAAAATCCATGAGTATTCGAAGCCTACTCAAGGTTTAACATTGCCTATAAATGCCACAAGATGGCAGCAAAGCACATTTTTCTATTAAGCAAGGCTATGGCTTGACTATAGGAAGCTCCTCCCTTTGCGCCAACATAGTTCCTTGAATGCAAGATGGTGCCAGAGCAAATTTTTTTTTTCTTTTAAGAGCAACGCTGTCCAAATACTCACTCTTGATCTCCAGCGGAACACAGTCGGGCAGCTTGGAATTCGCCTTGCCAAGCAATGCGCTCTCAGGACAGTCAATCACCGCGATGATTGACACTTCCTCGTTCTGAAACAGGGCCTGCAAGGTGATAGGACAACACGGTGTCAAGGGCGCTACCCGCCCCACACGTACGCAGTTAACGTACCTCGGACGACTCTGGCGATGCCTCCGCCGTTTGCGATGACGATTTGAGGGGCGACTTTTTGATCAAGCGCTTGGTGGCCATGTAAAGGATGAGCAGCATCAACAACATCACGGCCACAACCACTGCTCCAGTCAGGACGTGAACTAGGTATCCATTTCCACTCTCTTCAGAATCTACGGAAACACGAAAAGGACAAATGTGTGAGATGGTCTTGCTTTGGGAACCCAACTGCAAACGGACAAGCCATCAATTTTCTACCTCCACATTTGGTTCAGTGTTCAAAACAAAACAAAACGAGGGATTAGAACCCCAAATCTCTGCCGATGAGGCCGACATGCTAACCACGCGCACCATCATGACACCTTTTACAATAGCTAGCAACAAAAGTGAATACACACCTGAGTGAAAGGGGTATTGATAAAAGAATTGGAATGGAAAGGGACATCATTTCAACTATGAATACAATAATACCATTAGTTTAATGGCATTAAAGATGAAGTAATTCATGTAGATAAATAGATAATCAGTGCACGAGCTCGACCGCTAGCTAGCTAAACGGCTAGCTAGCGGGAAAGACAGATGTAAACTACAGTACTAATATTCTCGCTAAAATTGTGTTTTTTATATTTGTGAGGATTCTCATAATCTGCAAATCTTGAATCTAGGTTGAATTTGTTGGAAGTGAGACAAGAAAAGACGTCAGGGTTTCCATTCTCGAATCAGACATTACGTTCATTTCTTTCCCCAAGATTGGAAGCCAATTAAAAAGATGTTGCCAAGAAAAACAATGCATGAGCTCATTCAACACTGTTTATACTCGAGTGTCATTACACTCATCGTAGCGTATGAGCAACCTCAGACAACCTCAGTTTGTGGATACCGTTTGTGTAGTCTCTGTTGGGTGTGAACGCGTGGTGAAGCCCCAACAAGCCAGGACACGTGACGTGACACATCGTTACTCACACACGAGGGGGCAGGATTTGTAATTGTGATACTGCATGTGTCTATACATGAAGCCATGTTCATGGCTTGGCTGTGGCTAGGAATGGTCCGATCCAATCCACCAATTGGACGTCGGGGCCGATCACGTGATTTTCAGCGGATCCGGTATCAGGTGAAAAAAAAAAAAAAAAACTTTTCTCAACAAAAGGTCTCAAAGCTACAAAAAAATCCAAATGTGAACAGTTGTAGTTTAATTTGATACTACACAAAGTGACCATTTTTGAAATACATCGACATATAACACAGATGCCTTGATGTATGGATGCTGCTGTATTAATGGGAGGAAAAATTGGATGCATGCTGTTTTTTTTCTTAAAGCCTTGCCGAGGTATTGGATCAGGACTCGGTAGATCCTCAAACCAAAGACTTGGACTTGGACTCCGACAAAAAAAAGTGTCATCGGGACATCCCCAGCCGGTGCTCACAATCCATCAGATTGTGACTAATGCAAGTAATCCAAGTATGAGAAACATTTGAATCCGCGTAAAATTCTTGCCTTTCATTTGTGCCACGTCCTGCATATGTGTGATCTCTATTGAGCAATTTTGCCCATAATTCATGAGGAAGCAAAATAAAATGACAAAAGAAAAAAATGTGATAGCCTTTTTAATTAAATGGTTTGAACGCATTCTCGTAATATGGTGTTTTTTTTTTTTTTTGGCTTACCCTTTGAATTGTGGGAAGGAAGCGACTTGCAGAGATGTTTGCAATCCGCTACGCAACTGTGGAAAGACACACAGAGGAAGTGTGGCTTGTCAAACGCAGTAACAAATAGCACAACTATTAATATACTGAGCTCTGCTTCAAGTTTAAAAGTATAAAGATGTCTCATAAATATCACACATCACAAAGAAGAGTGTTGTGAACATGCCTGCCCAACTTGAATGAAGAAAAAAAAAAAAAGATTCCCAAGTATATAAAATGAGGCTCCAAAAGAATGAAAAATAGAGCCCTGCTCCTAGCTATTGGGCTAACAGGCTAACAATACACGAGCCTGCCAGCGAGTGCTTAATTTTTTTATTTTGAGTTTGAGAGTTTCACACTAAATCAAATTCCATGGTAGCATTGTTTTTTTGTTTTTTTTAATGGTCACTAAAATACCTCCAGCATAATGTTGACACTTTAGACTGTGATATACTGTGTAGTGTTATCCTCAAGCGACTCAATTTACGGTCTACTGCGATATGAATTTGAGTTCACATCACCCACCCAGAAATTCATTTTCATGTATTTTTTCATTCAAATTCATCACGAACACACGAATGTTGATTGACAGAATTGTTTTTCCTGGTCACAGGTCCCTTGTTACTAGGCAGACTTCGCAGGGCTAAATGATACCTGCCCCATAGGCCAATGAAAAATCAGGCATGAGCCAAGCATGCCCATTAGGCTGCTTTCAAAACACACCACAGATTCCAAAAACAATCCAAGTCAATTTGGGATTTGGGGACATTCACTTCTCAATAAAGTCTTTTTACCGCACTCTGCACTAACTATAAAACACATCACACAATTAAAGTATCTGGTGAGTGCTTCCAAGTGAACACTTGACTCAGGTTAATGTAAAAAATGTGAGTAACCAAATTTAGAATGCAATAGCTTCTCTTTTCTTGTGCTGCTGCTGGAAAAAGTTTCAGTTCAACAAAACCACTTCTCTGTGGCAGTCTCAGCCTTGAAGGAAAAAACGACGAGCGCCTTCTCAGACACATGCTCACCTCTTGCATGGCTCGCACTTCCCGTTCACTCTGAAGAAATTCGCCTTGCACTCGCACACAGTGTTCCTCTCCGTCGTGCCTGCGCTCACGTTCAGAAAAAAAAAGGTACAGTCAACTCCATCGCCACTATTGGCGAAAATTTGTGTGTCGTTCTGTTTTCTCCATTTTCAATTGACAATCAAATATGTAAAAAATGAAAACGTGAGTGATTTCTTCCTTTTTTTTCTTCACTGCCAAATTGACAACCATCCGTAAAATGAGCTGGTTAATGATCGAGTAGGTTATTTTA